TTTCAAGGTTGGTATGAAATTTGCAACTGCGATGTTTGCCGAAACGCTGGCTTACAAGGACCATCCGGCGCGAAGTTTTACACCGAACTCAAGCCGCGAAAAACTACAGACAAGAACGATAAATAAACTTCAATCTGAATACGGACAAGGAGTTCCTGGCAGAACTTCAGAAGGCTTTATTCTGGTAACAGGAATGTGTGGAACTACACACCTTTTTTCTTAATGTTATATCCAGATAGGCAGGCCTGAAGGAAATTGATAACACAAGAATTACTAGGAGCGCGGTTCACGAGCTTGCGTTCGGTAGTTGTGCGCGGATGGTCACGACATCTGAACGCTACGTGGGTCTACGGCTACAACCGCGATACTGTTAACATTACAGTATATTATTCTATGTTCTATATTACTAATATGATGAGATACTATACACTAAAACTGCCGGACACAGGGTTTAACCAAAACGACACACACTGTCACAATATCTGCAACTGTTGACTTCAAAACATTTCCTGCTTAATCTTTGCACGTGTGTATTTAGCCATAAAACCGGAAGATAAACGCATTTAATATAGCATAAATTCTACTGCTTTATATCTGCAAATTAGTTGCTTGTTAAATGTTAAATCTCTCTGAAGATCTGTTGAGATGCGAAAGTTCACATCCGAAACGTCGTTTTACGTTTTATATTTTATTTACTAGACGATGGATAATATCCAAAGAAAATTTTTATTCAAATAGATAATCGCCTTGACACTTTCAGGACACGCACTCCGTTAAGAAAGAGGCCAAGGCGTAGGTGAATGAATGGATAATAATTTGGGACAATATTTACTGGCCCAGGAAACAGAAATGAACATTCGGATTCCATACCGGCTGCGAAATTATTCAATGGCTGAGCACAAATGAAGGACTCCGCTTCAGAGAGTTAATTTGTCTGAATATGCAGCTGTATGTAGGTATATTTACGTCATTTTCGAATCACGAATTTATTGCGTGGGCCCGATTATATCTAGCGGGACACGCGTTCATTCGTTCACTGGCTGAGAGACGAATCACCTGTACTGGTTATTTGCAACACAGAGTACAATCAACACATGCAGACAAGAGAAAAACTGCTTCAATCTGTAATGCCGGAATTGGTGGTCTGATTTAGTTACCCACAGTGTAAGAGAGAATTGTACTGCCAAATAGGGGCATACCTGCTTCTGAATAATTTATTTATTTATTTTATTTAGTGTTCTGTCTGACGACAGGTCCATATGAAAAGGATCCTTCCATCCTTTTCTCGGACTGGGACCTGTTCATATACGTTCTTGGCAGATGATCCAGAAGTGGTTTGCCATTGCCTTCTTCTGTGTGTGAATGGAGTAATTGTTGGGATGCCACGGAGGAAAACTCCGTGTTGCCTAGACCACGGCCTTGCCCAACACAAGTTATAAATTCGGGCACCGCCGGGAATCGAACCCGAGACCCCAGGACTAAAGGCCAGCGTTCTAACCGCTAAAAGCTGGTAAATTCTGAATAATACGCACTAAGAACTGGAGTCACTCAAAACATTAATCTCTGAATGGGTTCTCCTGGGTTTTCAGATTATACTTTCAACAGACAACTGAAAATAACATTTCCTGTACACAAGATGGAGGTCGTACCACCAGAAACACCTTAATCAAGACGTCACAAGAGATACCGTACTAGCAAACGTTCAATAAATGAAATAATTTCCGGAAATCGGCACAGAATTCGAAGTATGAATTCCATGCGACAGAAGACAGAAATCTTCAGACTCACCGCTGTGATAACCTCAAATCCTACATATCTGATGCTTATTTAACGACGCTACACCGGCTATACAGCGTCGGATAATGGGATGACTAACGAATAAGGAATTTGACACGACAATAAGGTTCTAGGCCGACATTTTACTGGAGAGTCCCAGAAAAACCTGTCAAGATAGCCGTTCACGGTATGTGTATTTGAGTACGCGTTTTCCCGACCACGGAGGAGAACTACTAACCGCTCGGGTGCGACGTCCAGCTGTATCGATTTCCACAAAACTTGGAGCGGAAACTATGCCAGTGCCACCTAATGCAGCAGTCGAGAGAGGCGCGCTTCTGTTAAACTATTCAGTCGCTTAGGAACTCTGTCTCACGACAACCACCTTACTTACCGCCGAATGGAAAACAACTGATCTGTGGTCTGCCTAAATTACGTCACGCAACGCGAGAGTTCAAAGGGCAAGCTTTCACACACGGCGTGCAAATGTGGCCGAAGGTCACATGATGCTAAAGCCTCCCTATGAATGATGCAATATAAAAAATTTACATGAGGAGCACGCTGCCTTACTTCGGTCTGAAAGCCGTTCTTGTGTCCTGTCAAAGCTGCTGCATGCGCCCACATTCCGACAAAATCTGACCAAGAAATATCTTCTGAAACGACATATTCACATCATCAAATCCTGTAGTCCTATCTGTGAGTGGTGAACAGACATGAAATCCGGATGAATGTTCTCACTACAGTACGAGGTGCGATCGGAAAGTTTCTAGACTGTGTCAATATACGGCGAACGGGATGTAGTACGAGCTTCTGCAGCTAGGGAGTGCGGCCTACATTCATAGTGAATCAGTGTGCCAGCCGGCATCATCGAATTAGCATTTGTTTCTTAGTTACGGGCGTTTTGGTAGTGCATTACACCGACCCTCCTGCGATTTCGGAATGGCGGATTTTCATGAACAAATCAAATTTTGCCAAAGACTCGCCAAAACGGCTACGGAAACCTATGAAATCCTAAAGCAAGCATTTGGGGAGTCCGCAATGGGTCGTGCACAAACTTTTGGGTGGCATTCACGTTTTAAAAATGGCCGAACCCCTG